GTAACCGGTACAAAAAATACAACAATACAAAATTTAAAACAATTTTTTTTGGCCCAAAGTTGTGTCATTGATTACCTGTAGTTAGGGACGTTTCGATACAAGTAAATACGGGTAAGTACTCGATACTTTTGTTTCGATATCGAGTACATTTATTATCGAATCCCTTCTTTCGATTTTTACTGAATATCGCAAGACAAATACTGGTATCGAATCGAAACGCGCCTTAACCTTAATCCTACTTCTCAGGAAATGATAATCGTTTATCCAAATTATTTTTTTTCCATTTTCACCGTTTTACAGCAAACAAATGCAAACCGCGAAGTACCAGAGTAAAAAAATGTGTATGTCTATCTATGGTCCCTTTGGATTATTTTTGGATGAATTTTGGACATATATCTCAGCGAGTGAGCGAAGTTCACAAAGATAAATGGCGGTTTCTTATGTAGTTTTGTGGGTTTTTGTGTTACAGTTTTTATTTAAATCAATGTTTAGTTTAGGTATTAATATGACAAATTCGTAATAATAATCGATTATGAAAATCTCGAACAATTAGCGAAATTATCGATTTAGCTATAATACTTTAAAAAAAGAAAAGGCCGTTTATTTATTTAATTGTGCAGTGCCTGCTTGTTAAAAGTTTATTGCTTTTTTTTGTTATTGTGGTGCCGCCTAAATCTAAAGTATGGACATATTTTGTATCACCTAAAAAGTATCGAAATGAGTAAGTATCGATACTTTTGAAGTACTCATATGAATAGTGTCGCATGATGAATTGATTACTATTCGTTTGAGTAGGTATCGATACTTTGGTGGTATCGGAACAACTCTACTTGTAGTTAGTTCTACATGAATATAGTTTCGATTGTTAGAGCTTTTTTTTAAAGATTTAAGTTAAATTACCGGTTATTGAAAGTTACAACCCTGACAAAAAATAAAAATCAAGACCGACGCAGAGGATTCGCTCTGGGCATTTTGGAGGGAAAATTGTCGTTTTTTTTTACTTTCCATTATTTTGTGAAATATAGTTTAAAGTGGAATAGAATAGTGCTATTGTGCCTTAATCGAAGATTAAAACGCGAAAGTATACGAATCTCGAACTAAAATACCCGTATCGGCCCGTTGTAAGGAATCCCGAGTCAATCCAAGCACGCCACCTCAAATTGCCTATCCTCTTTGTGATGGCCATATTTACAGAAACATAATTAAACGAAGACATGGCTCAAAAGACTTGTATCCAAGCCAAAATTATTAATTAAAAAAAAGTTAAGGCCGACGCAATACCACAACGGAATCAGTTCATGATAATTTTAGGGCATGTAAAAGACACAAGACTTATAGCAATCGCTCTGGTATAAAAATCTTGACGTAATAGTGGAGAGTTGGGTAATACCGAGCCCCTAAAGCAATAAGGCCTATAATTAAGCTCAGGCTTGGCTTATAAAAACTAAATTTATAGTCGTAAATAGATTATTTATTTCATTACACGTATAGTATAACATAATTTCATAAACAAGTAGCTTGTTTAATCTTTGCCGATTGATGTATCGCAGACCGATGCGACTCGTCACAATGCTCGTTCACTCCTTATGCTATTATGACCCGTCCACAGCGCACGTAACCGATACAGTTTGTTGCACTTATATATTGACCGAGCTAATACCCGCACACCACAATTTTTAGAAATAAAAGAATTTTTACTGTTTATACTGAGATAATGCACAAAATGACTATAAAAATATTACTAGAAAAAAATAGAACTTTGGTTATAGATGTATTAACTTTTAGACTGCACGGCAAAAGTAAATCAATTTTGATAAAAATATTCGTTGTGCCCATTTTCGTTCTGAGGGCAGTACATAGGTATAAAACTCTAAATCCGGGGACTGTGCGCCATTTCTTGAAAAATTAAATATACCGGTACCTCAAAAGCCTCTCTCAGAAGAGCAACGTGCGCGCTTGTAAACAATTTGGTACTCACGCCTGTCCTGGGCAATAGCCGTGCGCATCACGAAGTGTGTCGAACACGTGCCGGCTCGCTCTACAATCTGATACAGTAGAGCTGAACAAACTATCGATAGTCCAATTTTAACTACAGTGTTTCCGTACTAATGTAACTAATTCCCTTTCATTAGATTATTATGAAAAAAAAATGAAATAAAAAAGATGAGACCCGTGTTTAGTGTTAGGTTATGGAAAAATTTCCATTTTGAAAAAATCATATCTTTTCAGAAAATTAAATATTTTTCCCAATATTTTTCCTGCATTTGTCCACATTTGACAAAAGACATCTGTCAAAAGTTGAAGACACTGAACGAAAACGATGAAGCCCTTATGAAGACTTTTTTTATCTATGATTGATTCCTTTTTTCGCTGTTGTCCAATGATTTTAAATCTGGTTTTTCGCTAACTTGCTTTTAGATATACAATTTTATTGTATAATTCACCAATTTTACAATTTTATTTTGTAAACCAGTAATAAAGCTTCCTGCGTACGCGGTTGTTTTCTTAGCTCCATATACTTCAGTGGCGATCGATCGAGGATTTAAAATTACTCACGCAAAATAAAAAATTAAAATGTCTCTTTTGGAAAATCTCCCGAACTTTTATTATAAAACGGGCGAGTAGTCGATTTTTAAGATAAGGTTGACACAGTTCTTGAAAGCTAATGGTGTAAAAGAAGAAAACAAAAGTGCAATCTTGATACTGATCTAACTGATGAGACTGGTTGGTGCGGAATTTGGCATACCCAAACGTTGTCGACGTGCTAATTAAATGCAACTTATTTTCGTAACTGGTTTCGTTAGAAGAATATTTATGCTTACTTCGTTACCCGGACCGCTAAAAGACATGTAATTATTTGATTACACTGCTTCCTAGCCACATGTATAAAATGCGTATTGATTGCTTTTTAAATTTATCTTTTTTATATTTTATCGTTAAAACGATAAGTCCGCTCGTTTTTAATGCAATACACAAATAATCAAGCAAGAAACCAAATCGAAATTATATATTGATTCTAAAGATTTGAATCTTTAGAATTATACTTTCCAGATCGTTTCTTGGACACTTTTATTAACCAGTTCACTACATTTCAACTAGTTAATGTATTATACAGCGCATATGTTACAGCCAAGTTCCATCAGATATACTACAAAACAACAAAGCCATTTCAATAAACAGTTACCATAAAAATAATACAATTAAGAACCTGAACTTCATTATAATTAAAACATTCGATTGCGACATAATACACAAACTTGTCAACCTAAGTTTTCAACTTATTTAAATAAACATTTATAAACTCAGTTAGTGACAAGTAGGAAATATTGGTTGGGCTTACTTATCAATATCCGATGTTTAACATAAACAAATGTTAATAAAGAGGAAAATCGCTTGAGCGTGATAATTAACCACTTTATTCGATTAAGGTATGGTACGTTTTACAGTACGAATGCTTAGTGAAGTCAAGTCATTTCACGTCAGTCATCGATAGATGATTCTACAACACAGTCGGTACTCCAAGAGTTGGAGTGTCGAGAGTGTGGCGAGTGTCACGAGTGTAGACTGATGTCGTCATCAGTGTGGGCCGCCGCGCCCCGCTGCCGCCATGGTGACGCATCGTCGCTTCTACCGTGCTACACATACATTTCAATCTTGTGATATATCCCCGAACAACTTGAAACATTTCCATTACAAAAAATAGCGTACCTTTCTTTGTTTTGGAGGTGTAAGTCTTACAACACAGCGTACATCGGCTTGGAAACCGGTTATATTTTTGAACTGGTTTCGGGTTATTCACCCTGAATGAAGCGATAGCATTTAGATCCCGATTATTTGACTTTTTATTAGAAATACCTACCCCTATTTACAAAGTAGTTGTTAAAAATACGGACACAACCGAATACTATAACCCCACGTTTATATTTTCCCCGTCATAGAATACTAACAGAAGTGCTCGATTTATTTTACGGCCATTCTCACATTCGGTGTTCTCAGCCTAATAACCGTAGCCATGGATACAGCGAAATATTTAAATTTAAATAACTTTCATTTTAATTTTCTTCACTTTTTGTAATGACAATACAATTAATTACACCGATATATTTTCTTTAAGGTTTTTATCGGTAAAAATAATCAAAATGTAAATTGTTACACTGTTCTTGTGGCAACTGTAATTAATCATAAGACAGAATTGGAGTAATTTTTAATCAATTTTGCTAAACAAATACTAAAAAATCTACTTTAAATTTATTTAAAAAAATCTTGAATGGCACTTTTATCGGTAGAAATAAAGCAAATGTAGCAAAATATACAAATAATAATTCAGCTATGTTAGAAACAGTCATTTTTTGTTAAAAATGTTTGAACTTTCTAATTACTGTATCCACAGTTTCCATAAAGCATCTGTTTCTTATTAACTCGAAAACTGCTTTGTCTATCCTAATGTCATTTGAACATATTGAATTAAGCTTATTTATCATATTTCATTGTCATATTTTAAAGTTATTGAGTATATTAAGCGAGAAAAAGCAATAGCTATGGTAATTAAGCTGAGAACACCGAATGTGAGAATGGCCGATAATTAGGTTGCTCGATTATCAAAGCAATGATGGTTAGCAGCTATAGAGGGATCCAATAGTTATAGGCCCGTATCATTAAGGTCAATAAAACATTATAGAACTTGTTACTACTCGGGCACACAGCGACGAAAATTAGATTAGACAGAAAACCAGAACGGTTTAAACCCGGTTTGAATATAATAATAAATTATTATTATTATTCTGTGTAGCACACTTAAGTAAAAAAAAACGATTAAACTGAATGTCTAAAAAGTACACATTTCCCACCTATAGATATAAATAATATCGCGTCGTAGTAGGCCATAACGTATTATATCAGAAATTCTAGTGATATCACTGGAATTATCGCGTGACTTTAGGGCGGTGTGGACCGGTTTAGCTGGAATAGGTAGGTTTATGCACGTTGTTTGAACGGCCCCGACCCCATCCCATCACTTGGACTAGCACGATCTAAGGCCAACCAGTCCACCATAGAGCGTCGCGCGCGCCGCCGGTACCGCACGCCCAGATCGTTCAATCGTTTGAGTGAATCGTGAATACTGGACGTTATCCCGTGGAACTAAACTTCACAAAACAAGGTCTTGCAGTGAAACCCTTTTAACGCTTCCATGAGCACACAATCAGCAACTGAAGTTTACCAACTTTAATATTCTATTCGTAAAGGTAATATAATGAGATGATTATTACAAATCCCAAATAATAAGATACAATTATTGATTATTTCGGGTATTCCGTTATCAATGAGCGAAAGTTAGGAATGGTATCCCGTTTATATGAAAGTTTTGTGTTACCTCCGCAACACACTTGCGCATTGTGTCTGTTTTTCATTCAAGTTGTCGTGCTTGGGAGGAATAATGCCCAAAACAAATACGTTAATGTTTAATAGTTGAAAATAGTGAATCGACATGTTTTACTTTGTTGCCACGCACAAAATTTGTATAATGTATTTAAGTAACTGTGATAACGGTAACTAACTAACATTAGTGTGATTTTGGTGTTTTTGGCAATAAACACCGGTCATTTTGCAATAGCTCCCATAGCAACAAGCGTATTACAAATACAAATAATGACTGCACCTTACTAATGTTGCCCACTTCATAATGATTAATAAATAATTTAAACACAAGAACTTCAGAATACATTTGCGTACCATGGGTAGCCAGTTTTACATATATGGCATTTTCAACAGGGGTTAACATTTACGGTACCTACTTATTATTAATCTGAGCAATGTCAAAAAATATTCGTACAGAAGTATGTATTTTTAGAAGGCGGTACCCTTCGTGGTGTAAGTTTTCTTAAAAGACATAGGTAGTTGATGCTGCAGTAAATACGACATTTAACATCACGTGACTTGTTTGTCGCCATATCTTTTGTAACCGGAAAGGAAAAGGGCCTTAAGGTAAATATGTTAGAAAAACCACATCGGTTTGGCACTTTATCTCTAACGTACGTCAACGGGAAGTACATCTGTACAAATAAACCTGGATTATAAGTACCTTCCTAAATAAGGGTTCTTTACCGCATTTTTTTATAAAAACCAAGATAGTTTAGTCGTTGCCTTTAAGCCCTCAAATTAAAGGACAATTTCTTATGTCCGACTTTAATCCAAAAATTATTAAAATCAGAGTAGAGACAATTGCATACAAAGTGGGTACCACGTATAATAATACGCTAATAATTTGATAATAATAATTTGTACCTAATAAGGTACAAAACTGACATTGGATCAAGTCTAGTTGCCGACATTAAGGGAAAAAATAAATAAATGTTAAATATGTATCACTATAAAACATTTGTAAAACCAAATTTCGACATGACTAATTCAGAATGAACATTACGTAGGGTGTACCCATATTTGTCGTTACGTTAAATGCGGGTATTCTTATTTATGATCCAAATCAAATTCAAAATAATATATGGCAAAAGCAAAGCTTGTATCTCTACGAATTGCCAAGGAGGAAAAATAATGACTGAGTACCAAGTTTTTGCAACTTAATGTGAGTTTACACATAAATGTATTTGTCCTACTCCTTAATAATAATGATTTATGATGTCGATTTTTAGACCTTTAGACTTTAGTGATTATTAGTTCCGCTTCACAATAACAACAATCTTGGAAATTGAGGTATCTTTTATTTATTTCAGTATCTTTTCCTACACAAACGACACCACAGTATGATGATTAAATATTTGTAGTTATTTATGATTGTGACTGCTCTTATATTTTATTTCTATATTTCTGCATGTTACAAACGTGATAGCTAAATTTCACTTATTCCGTTTTCTCCTCTTATGTATTGAATGTACCCACACGTCACTTTATTTTAATGACCATAATATTAATTAACATTATTATATTATTACACAAACAACTTTACATTATTATTTAAGCATTAATGTCAGCGTTACTGTGTTCCGGTTTTGAAGGGTAAGGGGTGCTGGTGAAATTACAGCCACATGGGACTTGTCAACTTATGTGTCAGGGTGAAGGACGCAGTGGCAGTGCCCCTCACATCTTTCCAATAAAGCTCTGAGTGGCACTGCAACTGTTATGGACAGGCGTATAGCTTACTATCAGTCGCACGACTTGTTCGTCCCGCCACTTGATATTATAAAAAAAAATCCATGACTCCACTTCTAATGGTAGTTATTGTTCGGTTATGTTTTTATGCAAAAGTTTTTGCACGTGCATGTCAAAACTACTCTGACAAACGAAATTATTGTTGTCGCTATAAGGTCAACAGATTTTTTTTTTCTAAAACTGTCAAATTACATCAGTATTTCATTACTATTCTTTTATTCACTAATACGTAAACTCAAAACGTGATTTGACTTTCACCAGATCGACGCGTCGTCGAGTAAATTCCACAGTATTAAAGAGAATATTTGCCACTAATACCATAGCAAGAAAGTCGAGTTTTCTATTGCGTGAAGTTGAATATTTTCCTAGAGTGGCCTTCGGAACCATTGGAGCCCATGACATAAGCAAATGATGTCATCTGGAATGTACAGTAGCGGTATATTTTAGTGGGAACAATTTTGTCCAATTTATTTGTTACTTGGTACATAATACGACGTTTGTATTACAGCAATTAAAATAAATCTGCACCACACAGTTTTCTACCATAATTTGTTAATATTATTTTTACATGAGACGACAGTTCACCCAAAATCGTCCTATCTAAAAAAATAGAACTTGAGAGTCAAAACTATTGCTAAGGGTCGTTTTCTAGAACTCTACTCAATGCTCAAGTCAGGATTTGAGTATGGCTTAAAGCACTCGAAATCATACTCAAGTTCCTTCCATTAGAGTCGTATTTCTAGTGCTTGAAATCATACTCAGATCCTGACTTGAGTATTGAATAGAGTTCTGGAATACGACCCATAGTGATCCTTCAAAGTTGTACTCTCATATACTCTTATATTACAACGTTAATTTGTAAAGGGCAGTGGTGATTAAAATCTCAATTTTCGGGAAAATCCAGAGCCTAATGTGGAGTTAGTATTACAGAATGGAACATGAATAGGTAATTCATTTAAAAATCACAGAACAGTGAGATTGGTATCAGTCTGCCCTGTGACACTCAAACTAGATTACATGAAGTGATAAAGTAATACTAACGCAGCCATTCTGATTAAACATTGACTGGATCGCTACACGAACACCATAAAGTAAATTAAACAATAAATTATTTAATTAATTGGCTTTCGTGACTGGTTTACAATGTGTTTGTTTATTGTTTATTTTTTTTTTAATTCGTTCTCAATTTCTTAGTTTATACTTACATAATGATTACAATGAGTTAATTTCTTTATGTAGGCTTATTTGTAAAATACAAGCAACCTCACAGGACTATATTACTAATATCCTAAACAGCAACTTTTGTTCCATGACTTTTTACGAAACTTAATAGGTTTTTATTGAATTGATATTCAATTATTTTTTGTGAAATTACGAGTACTGTTTTACAAGTCTGTTTTAATTATAAGTACAAAGATCGAACACTTACAAAAAATTTTAATAAAAAATTTTACTCTAAAGTTTATTTTTGGTAAACCTATTTTAATTACTAATACAAAGATCGAATACTTAGAAAAATTTCTTCGATCCAGCCGGATTCGGCCAAAAAGTCGTTGAAAATCAATTACAAAAATCCGACAACAAGCACATAGAAAAATCCTGAGGTCCGCTGGTTTGTTCCGTGGCTTATTTGGCATAGCGTCTGACACGGTTTGCTAGGAGACGTCGGTTAAAATCCGGCCAGACCATTTATCGTACTATCTGACACTTTTTGTATCTCTATTTGGTGTTAAGTCATTCATAAAAATAATTTTGGTGGTGGACGCTTTCTTTTGCTACCGCACAGAGTTATCGTCGTTTGCAGCGATCTATTAAAGTAGTTTTATTTTTGTAACAAAAGCATAAAAATCATATTTAAAAAAAATATTTAATAATAATTATTATTAAATATGATGAATTGTTAAAATTATATATTTGAGAAAGATCTGTAACAATTATCTTGCACAGTAACATAATAATTATGTACGTAAAAAAATTGCGTATAACAACATAAATACTCCAGACAGTGCTGATACCTGTTATCTATTGTTTCTGACTATACAAATAATCCCAATTGAACCCAAGCGCTTATTCAAAGGTATTTCGTTAATTAGAGAAGACTCATTGAAGGTTGAATGACGGAATATCACGTATATACTCTAAATGAAAGTGATTCACGCTCGGTAGAACCCAATAAAATCATTGTACTGAATGAGACTAATCAAATTATTCTTCTGCTGCCTTAATGTTTAAACTATATTTTGCTTAAAGTTTATTTAACTGATCTCAATCTATTAGAGAGTCATTGTAATATAAGTGCATAAGCATTACAATAACATTAAATTGAACATTATAAGCTAATACAAAAAATAATTACATTAATATTTGATCAGGATACATACAACCATATACTTACATAAATTGCAACCTTGGAAGAAAGGATACAAAGAGAGGAGAGCAAGAAAGTCTTAGTATATTAGAAATAAATAATTAGCTAGACTAGAATATAGGTATATCATATGTATTTACGATATACCTATACAAATTTGGAATTACAAAACAATCAGAACTACATACAGTAAAGAAACGTTACAAGATAAAGTCTTATGTTCCCAGACTCTCAAAATGTGAGATAAGAGTCGGTAAGGGGTGAATGGGAATCGAACGATATTTGGAATATGAAGTAGAATTTGTTTATTTTTTGCAAGAAAAATAATGTGCGTAATAATGTTCTACATTTTTTTTGTAGCAGTAGAGCTCCTTGTGAAAGAGTTCGTCCAGGGAAATACTGCCACCTTATCTATTTCTGCCGCCAAGCAATAATGTGAGCATTACAGCGTTCCAGTTTGGAAGGGTAAAGGTGCTGGTAAAAATTACTGGGACATAGGACTTATCAACTTACGAGTATATCTCAGGGTGACGGGCACAGTGGCAATGCCTCTAAGATCTTTACGATTTAAATCTCTAATGGCACTGTAACTGTCACGGATAGGCGTATCGCTTACCACCAGACATACGACTTGTTCATCCCGTCACTTGATATTACCACTGAAAGTAAATCCTTCACTTCATTTTTAGTTACGTTCCTAATAAAAACATT